AAACAACAGAGAAGAAGAGAATAAAATGCATCACTAAAGAATCCTGAAAATAATGTCTATGATGAGTATGTGTAATCCTCTCTCTGATAATGTATGTGGTTTGGTCTCAGACTGAATGCCTCTTGCATAAATATTCTCTTTCCACTGTTTACGTCAATTGCGCAATTATTTGTGTAATTTTAATTGTGCTATTAAAATTGGTTGGCAGACGTGTAAGAAAATAAAAGCCATAGAAAAACTGGAAAAATCAGTCAGAATAAACGTGCAGAATTGTTTTTTTTTTTCATGCTTTTGTGTCGTCACCCATTGACAAAATCACAAATTACTCCTTTCTTTATGATGGGCTTGATTTTCATTTAAGAAGCGGATATTTCTTTACGTCTTAGTCTTTCTAAAAAAAACAAAACAAAACAAAACAAAAAAAACTCAGGAATGCCAACAACCTCAGCATGGAGGATATTTTCAGTTTAGTTTCCTCTTCCTCTGATCTCACTTTGTAAGGTGACACCAGAAACTTGCAGGCGTGTGCAAGAAGTCTCGTTTTAACTCTTCCCCTTGCTTCACTCTTGTGTACTCTCATTTGGCCGAGCCGAGGGAGATGAACATCTGGTCCTGAGTCATGTGAGCGCGAGGACAATTCACTGCAAAAGAAAGGAAGCACACCTTCGGGAAAGTCTTGCAGAGTTGGAGTTTGGCAAGTATTTTATTTTATTTTTTTTATTTCAACATCAGTGGTTGATTGTGAGAGAATGGAAAGTAACAATAACATGAATGTGGGTGAATTACTTTAACAGCTATATCCCAGCCAGAGTTTCAATGTGATTTTAGTAAACATTCAGCTCCTTTTTATAGATGAAAATAATAAGATTCCTTGCATAAAAGTAGATTTACAGGCTTTAAGATGCATTACTTGCCAAAATGTCGCAAAGGTTCAACCAGTAACATAGCAGCGTTGTGAGGTCACTGCAATAAATACTTTATTTTGATGCCCTTTTTTCTGTATTTAAGACATTATTCAAGAAACATTTGAGTTTATTTGTGACACCCAGTCATATTAAAAATCATAATTACTCACAGTTGCATATCTGAGCACAGCAGCATCAAACAAACCTCCTTCGCCTCTGATCATTTAAAGTTTATGTTGCCAAGCAGCGGCTGATGGAAAGTTGCTGGTGCACTTAAATTAGCTTAACATCTATTGTTCATTTGCTGATTTACGCGACATTTTTTATACTCCAAAAAGCCGCAAGACATATAATGACATCATGAAAACTAAAAGAAATAACATAACCGGATAGATATTTGCATTCAAAGTTATTCATCCCAATTATTCAGATGAATGGTTAGAAGTAATTTAGATGTAAAAGCAAAATTGAAACTTTAGATTACTCAGATGATAATTTCAGCTTTCAGGTGTGAACACTGACTGCACTATAAGTGACACATTTTGCGTGTTGCTTTTTCCCTCTGAATAAACATTAGGTGTATAGCTACTGAGTCCAGTGGCAAAATTCTATGAACTAGTTGTGAAATTAGCTGTTTGTCAAATACAACTTCTGGTTTTATTCCCAGGAGAAGCCATGTTGGAGGTCATATAAGCTCAAACCATTAATCACACTCATATTTTACTTATTTACAACAAATTTGAAGTTTTTTTAAGACATTGATTTATCTGAAGATTCATCACTCTGAACGGATGGCGTGTCATTTCAGCTGTTTCCACCGAAATGCTGTGAAAATGTTTAATAGCCCAATTAAGAGACTGGGGATATCACTGAAGCAAATCGTTGCAAGCATTCAAGGCAGACGAAAATAAATGAGGTGGAATAGAAACACAGATACAAGCATAGACCTGCGTGCGTGCGTGCGTGCGTGCGTGCGTGCGTGCGTGCGTGTGCACGCGTGTGTGTATGCGTGTATGTGTGTGTGTGTGCGCGTGCGTGTGCTGACAGATTCTACACCACGCTCTGCAGGAGTACAAAGGCTGCCAGTGTCTGAGAGCTGGACCTGTGGATGACCTGTACTTTGTCTTTCCCAGCAGAGCCGTCCTGTAGCAGAGGCGTGAATCTTGCACCTGGTTGTTTTCTTAGAGAGGCTCTCCTGGCCTGCAGGTCAACCAGTTAGACGAACCTCAAACTCAGCAGGCAGTGCCCTCCATATACACAATATAATCACACCCTAAAGGCCTGTCCCATGTCTGGATGGAGAACTTACAAAGACTCTTTTTCACTATGACCTGTGAGAGTCATATAACTTAATCATCGCCAACAAAACAAAGTCCAGAACTCGCTGACAGACTGTATGTACAGTGTCCATTCAGTTCCTTTGTACATATTTTGCTTCAAGGTGTGAGGAAAAGGGCATGATAACATTTATGTCATCTCAAATTTATCTTTTTTATTCACATCATAATTTGTGAGGATTGAGGCCTTGGAATTTTAACAATTACTTGTCTAAGGTAGGATTCCCATAAGCCTTATCGCTAAATGAAATGCTGCAGTGACTCAATACTCCTGAAAAGTTCTCCTACTGAGATAATCACAAACTTCCCGGGAAAACATGTTGAGTTGATGGTAGCATCTGTCTCATAATATTTTAATACACTTCTCTCACCAGTGTTACCTTAACATGTAAGCAAATGGCCTGTGCAATGAACACCAGTGAACTTCAGAACCTCCACCGCTTGGTCAGCTTTTGAAACAAAATGGAAGGTGTTTCCTCTTAAAGTAAGCTGCAAAATGAAGTCATCTCAGCACACGCCATGTGCCCACTGTCTGGGCAGAGATGATAAAGAGGATGCCAAGAGGTGGCTGGTAACTCTGGAAGAGCTGCAAAGAAAGTTGAAAGAAACTCTAGTAATCTTACTCTCATCTTTATGCTAGAGAGTCCAAAACGCCATTGTCTAAGGAAGACAATAAGAAAGCCAACTAGAAATGTACCACAAGCCTGGTAGGCAATATAGCAAACGTGTGGAAGAAGTTCTGGTCAGTGACCAAAAGGAAACCCGTTTTGGCCTACATGCAAAACACTGTATGTTAATGAAAGCGTACACTGTGAACTCAACACACCATCACCATGTAGAGGCGCTGGAGTTAATAAGGTGCAGGGATGCTTCTCTTTAGCTGGGTGAGGCCAGATTTCTGACATCCTTGTCCAGATTTAATGCTCCTCTTTTTGTATTATGCAGTTTAATATCTGGTTAAAGTGTATCACAACTTTGAGTTTGTCAGAGCTCCGCTTGTCCGCAGTAACTGTAACAGAATAACAATGCCTTCCTTCTGCAGAGCTACTATAAGGCTTAATGTGCTGCATATCCACCAGCAGACTTCCTGTACTTCATGTTTTTTTGAACTGCAAAATGTTAAATTAATCATATGTTTTTAACTGACAAAAATTTCCCTGAGCTTGGAAACAGTTTCCTTCCTCTCTTGTAAAGACTATGCCAAACATTCTCCTCTCTCACACTTTTGCACAGCCATGCTGGCTAAAATCTTCCAGAACAGAGTTACTTTTGTTTCGGTCTGTCTTTTCTCACAGTGCCTCTGGTTCTCACATGTGTTTACATGAATCTTGGTTCATTTGACTATCAAAACAAGCAAGAGATGTTTTGAATGCTACAATTGCCAGTAGCTCTGGGGAAGAGTCTCAATCTCGTCTCATATTGTGGTCACTATCTAGATGCATCTTGGTTATTTACTTCTCCAAACCAAACAGACCTGTTCTCTTGAATGAGAAAGTGTTTCGGATGGCCTGTTTGGACAGTTTGCCCAGACATTTATGTTCTCCTTGCGCTGAATCCTAATTACTTTGCTCCTTATAAATGTTTTTGGAAATTGGGATGATGAGAGAGATCAATTCTGTCTGAAGATGTAAGTCTGAGTAGAGGTTTAAAAGAGCTGCTTAGAGAGCTATAAGCCCTTTATGACAGGATCATTACTTGTATGCTGCATTATTGTATACAGCGACAGTCAAACATTGTCTTCAAGTAAGAGTAGCACTACTTCAGTATAGTTTTACTCAAGTAGAAATGAAAGTAATTGTTCAAATTATGCAAATTGTTGTACCTGCAAATACCAATTTTACTCATTTTTCTGAAGACTGAAATGCTATAAAACTGTGTTTAGGAAAGAGATTCTGTGGGATTTATCACAGTAACATTTATGAGAAAGTTCGTAACGTCTCAAAATAGCTTTAGATTTGACCCAGTTCAGGAAAAGAATCCCCTCTACTATTTGCTTTTCTTCAATGCTCAGCTGTGGGATTTGAATTTATGTGGAAATGAAACTTTAAACTGAGCTGTTTGTTCTTTGTAACTCCAGATTAGACCATTTGCTGTTTGGGTTGTCACCTTAATTCCAGCTGATTAGCCAGAGTATCGCTAATAGTTAGAGCATGTCTCTGCAAGAGGCCATGCTTTATGATGGAGTTTGCTCTGGGAGCAGAATAAATGAGCCATGCAGCAGCACCAGGAGACCAGCTCAGGGCAGCGGCTGTACGTTTTATTAAGCACAATCTGTCTGCACTCAGTCAGCTTAATCCCTTTGATTAATGGATGTCTGTAGTATTGTTTGGTTAAAAATACGAGGTTGATGCATCAAGCACAATGCTGCAGACAGAGTGCGGTAAATTTCAACACGTTGTTTTTGATGGTGCCCCCTTAATATTATTGTTACACCATAAAGATCCTTCTGTTTGTATGTTTTGTTTAAGGTAGCCTATGCAATACAAGCAAGATGTTTATTTTTTATTGGAGCAAATATTTATTTTGACTCAATAATGTGCTAATCATAATTTGGCTATTAAAAACCATCTTGACCACAACAAAGAGAAGCCACTTGCGTGCCACATTTTTAAAAATCTTACTAAAAATATAGATTTCATAACTATTACATATGTTTCTTGGACAGTTACAATATGATCTGGTTTTAAATTAATTGAATTTCCTTTTAAAACACAGATGAAAATGTAAAACATATCTAATGTTTGCTCCATCAGCTGGAGGAGAGTCATGGAAAGTGAAGTGGGAATGATGAGCGCAGCAGGTCTTGATGATCCTCTGAGTCCGACGCGCCTGACAGGGTTGGGAATGAGCTGCCTTCTCTCTCCAAAGTACAGACACTTAGGCCCGGGCCTCACCTGTCTGCATACGTACAACCAGTGGTTGCCTTACCGCCATGATGCTAGCCTCCTGCCCATGAAAGAAGACCTGGCGCTCTGGCTCAACTCTATTATGGGTGAGAAGTCTTCTTTATGTTACAAATCACTATAGTCTGCAAGGGGGGGAGGGGGGGAGCATTTTTTTTCCCTCATGCTGTACAAACACAGGTGTTTTTCAGTCCAGGAAATTGAATAGGAGGATGTACACGTGAAAAGCACTACCATGGCACTTTATTAACATCAGCTTACTTTAAGTTTTTGTTAGCTGAAGATGAAAAGGACCCAAAAATGTTTAGTTTGATTAAAGCGTTTAGAATCATCTATGCAGGCCGTTTTCTTTAGCACACACACACACAAAAAAAAAAAAAATCAAGTTAATTATTGTCCCAAATCCCCCGAAATCCCCCTACATTCAGAGATGCTTCTCTCCACTCGCTTGCATTGTGCAGGAAAATATAAAAAAAGAGCCTGCACATGTCAGAGCGTGTTGAAAGATGTCGGTGGAGTGATTCAGACTTGATAAATCTCTTGCACCAAAGACTCATCCTTCAAATCCCCTGGTTCACCTGGTGAACTTTTCATTTCCCCTCATTGTGATCCTCACTATTCAGTCACTGAGGTCAAAAACTGTGCTTAGTTAATAGAAATGAAAGTCTATATGGTTAGGCAGATGTTGTCACCAAGTATGTCTGATCGTTGTACTTTTGTGCAAGTAGGTTAGTGTGTTTGTGTGTGTTCCTTAGGGTTGAACCTCACTGCAGACAGTTTGATGGAAAAGTTGGATAATGGTGTTCTCCTCTGTCAGCTGGCACAAACGCTCCAAGAGAAGATGATCCTCACCAGCAACAACAAGGTGCTGCACATTCACAAATTCATCGCAACTATTCACAGTTGACTTCCTATTTACTGGTGTCGCCAACATAAGATTGACTTGCTGAAGTAGGATACGTACGCTCGTCTTTTGGAAAGGGCAAAGAGAAATGAAGCTCTGTCTCATGTCACATTTATGTTGCAAAATGTCATGGGCTCCTTGTTAAAATCGTTTATTCATAATTGACATATAGATTTTTCACCAGAGTCTGTCTGACGAACCAGAGGCAAACAATGGCAAGGCAAATTGTGGTTAAACAAGGAAAGTAATTATATTTCCACACAGGTCAAAGTTGGTAGCCTTTTTGTCTCAACAAATGAAATTGTCATCTAAACACTGCTTGTTGGATTTGCTCAGGTTATCTGTGTCTGACAAAACTAGTGCAAAAGTTGGCAAAGGATATAATGAGGTGCATGGAGGGAAGTAACCTGAGGGAGAAGAAGGAAATTACCATGTGGTGAAGACCTGTCAAAGATAGATAGATAGATAGATAGATAGATAGATAGATAGATAGATAGATAGATAGATAGATAGATAGATAGATAGATAGATAGATAGATAGATAGATGATAGATAGATAGATAGATAGATAGACTGAATCTTTCAGGTTTTTACTACTTAGGTTCCTGTACATTGACCAATATATGCTTTTTAATCTAAAACAGACTTGACTTATTTTAAACTTATTTAACCTGGCCCACCCAAGTTTTATCAAGAAAATTGTTTTATTTTACTTGAAATTGCTCATAAAAGGTTATTTGGTCTCAGACTGTCAGAAAAGCTAATAAATGTAAGCTGTCCAGTGTGCTTTTCTGTTATGGTGTTCTGACAAGATATCTTTTTTTTTCTAAATTGCTTTTATTGTGTACAAACCAATCTGCACATTGGAGAATGCAGCAGCAACTTATATCAAAACAGCTTTATGGTTTGTGCGCGTGCGTGCGTGCGCGTGCGTGCGTGCGTGGGCGTGCGTGCGTGCGTGCGTGCGTGTGTGTGTGTGTGTGTGTGTGTGTTGTTTCCCAATATGTAGGTAGGTTTAAGAACTGTCTGAAGACTAATTTTAATTTTCTGTAAGAAAAGGTAAACCTATACCCACTGCAGGCTCACTTCATACCTTTAAAACAATTACAGGCCTTTGTCAGAAGAGCGATCCAGTGGCGAGCTGATGCAACTTCTGGATCCTTTTTCGCCCGAGACAATACTGCCAACTTCCTCTACTGGTGTCGAAAGATTGGAGTTGAAGAGGCATACCTTTTTGAGTCTGAGGATCTGGGTGAGTTAAATCTGGATTTTTTTTTTCTCCATAAAACAACTCTGACGTGTTTCTCCTTCTGCTGACAAACTATTGTGCATTTAAGTACAATTTAAATTAGTACTAACCTCACAGTATTTGACATTTTACCTTGCTGCGATTGCATGAACTTAAACTTGACTGTACATGCAGAAAAGGGACGTCTGTGATTTAAAAATGCCAAGTACCAGGATAATTCAGTTTGTGTTTTCAAAATATGTATTTTTTCGTTTTCATTTCTAATCAGTTTTGACTAAAAACATACAAATCTCTACTCAAAAGCTGAAGAGAGTTTTAAATTTGAGTCAAAAACAACAAAACAATTGTTTGGCCGGGAAATAATTAAAGTTTTGAAATGAGGGAAATGAGAGTCCAGAAGATCACAGATCACAACAGAAAATCTGGGTGATTACACAAAGAGGGCTATGAATACGATAAGTGGTTATAATCTGATTTATAAACAGAGAGCAAATATTATACAGTCAGCAGATGGTTTGCTGATTGACGTTCACATTTCAAAAGGAGTGTCTTGTGATGTCATTTAATAAAAACTTGCTCTACAATTACCATAGAGGATGGAAACTCACCCAGTACTGTTAAATATTTTACTTGCGTTTTTCTGCACACCCCTAACTTGGGCCTGCCCAAACAAGAAAGAGATGAATGACAATGATAATATGGAGGTAAATCCACAGGAAGTATAATTATGATGGAGCTTCCTCTCTCTGTGTTTCTTTTGCAATGAAAAAAAAAACAAAAAAAAACCTCATGCTTGACTCATGCGACTTATGCGATTAAAATAGGATTGTGTTTTAATTCAAACTAAGTGACCTTAACAACCCAAGTCATGTTGGTGGGAAGACTTGGGGAGCCGCAGAGATTTTTACAGCCAGTGAATCTCTGACACCCCCATGCCCTCATCTGAGGGAACCCACATGAATTCCTGTTCACCTTTAAATATAGGAAACCACAGCGAGGAAGGATATTCCCTGTTCCTTCCCCTCCTGCTTCAGGTGGAGCTCCTGTTTCCTTTTGTCAAAAACAGACTTTTATCTCCAGAAACATCTTTTCTTTCGTACGAGTCACATTTCTATTCTTCTTGTCATTGTTTCTGCTCTTGATGCAGTCCTACACAAGCAGCCTTGGGAGGTGTGCCTCTGCCTGATGGAGCTGGGTCGCATTGCAGCCAGGTAAACTAAACTTGGCAAGTTTTCAGGGAGTAGATAAAAAAAAATACCTTAACTGTGCTAAATTACAAATAAAAATTGTTAAAATGAGACTTTTTTTTTTTTCTTTTTTTTTTTCGGGGGTTGGTGGGACAGGCTGCCCTGGTGCTGTTGTGAGAAAATAATAATAATAATTAAATTTTAGCTTAGGATTTTACTTTTTTGATGCATCAAAAGATATCCAATTATACTGGGTATAAAATTTTAAAATATCAAAATGAGTGAATGTGAGAGTTGTAATAATAATAATCAAGAACAACTCATTGCTTTTAGCTCATATGGGAATTGCACCTTTCACTACAGTCAAACAGGTTTACTTTGTTGTTACCCAAGTGGAATTTGATGTTACACCAAGCCCTGACTGGAAGTAAATGAAATGATTTTATGTTGATTCATCCGTTCTGATTCTGATTCTGATTGTTTTGTCACATCTCACTGCCAGGTATGGAGTGGAGCCACCAGGCCTGGTGAAACTGGAAAAAGAGATAGAAAGAGAGGAGGCTGGGTGCTTATCTCCATCATCTCCTCTCTGCTTTTTTTATCCAGCGTCATTGTACTCACCACCACCAACGTTGCCCCTTCCCTCGGCCCCCTCCCCTCCTCGTTCACCTGCCCCCCTCACTTCGAACACAACCTGTGTGCCTGAACCTCTCACTACCTCCTTTGCCTCTGATCTTCCATCAGCCACCACAGACCCTCTGCCTACATCCTCGCCCCCTCCCCAACCCCTCCTCTTAGCTTCTAGCCTTTGTACGAGCGCAGCCTCAACACAACCCCCTTTGTTCTCCTCATCTTGCACCACTGACACATCTGCTTCAGCCCTGCTGTCAGCGCCCCTAACAGACCAAACTCTGGGATCCTCTGCTGAAGCCTGCCCAGCCACAGAAAACAAACAGACTCCCAAAGTCCCCTCCCAACCAGCAGCACAAACCACTCGTTCTTCCAACAAGTCCAGAAGCCGAAGGAGCGTCAGCACAAGCATTTTGGATGACATTGTATGCATTTTTTTTTTATTTTTTTCCAAAAGTGAAATTTATTTTGTCTGGCCTTATTTTGTTACTTCCTTGACCCTGAGGCAGACTTTTTTTTTTTTTATCTCTTTCAGGTGAGAAACATAATTGAAAATCCTCCCTGCAGCTGTCCCACCAGGTTCCCTGTTGAGAAGCAGCCAAAAGGCTGCTACCGCGTAGGGGACAAGGTTCTGTATTTACGGGTAAGAATCTGCTAACTTAGTCTGAAAAATATACAAATAAATCTTATCCAAGCATGTGACCAGAAAGTTGAGTGGAAGAAAAAAGCTTGGCAGAAAAAGGATGCTCAAGCAAACATTCGTAAATCATAACCTTGAGAGGATTGTGAAGCAAAGGCTGTGCAAGACTTTGACGAACAATCATAAAAAGCTGACTTTGATTTGAGTCACAGGACAAAAGCTACAACTATGGCGTTCCTTGATTTAGCTAATTCTGCTCCAGACGACGAGAGAAGCGCCTCATCTGTGCCAAGCAGAGAAAAGACACCACGGTTTCTCAGTTAAGATTTTTAGAGAAAAGCAACTTTTGTGTTACATTTGTCCCAGAGTCTGAGGACACAGTGAAGAGGCACAGAATCCACGTTGCTTTAGGTCCAGTGAGAAAATTTTCACAGTCAGTGATGACTTTGAGTGTCATGTCAAGAGCTGACATCCTAAGTGAAGTCGTCTGCCAGAAATTTTTCAAACATTCCTTCCTTTCATCAGCTACTTAAAGCTTTGTGACTGATTTAATTTTTATAGCAGTACTTGACACTTGCCCACACTGCCAAAAGTACAAATATCTGCATTAAGGAACAGGGTTGTAGAGTTTTAGATGAAAGCTACCCCGACCAAACTCTGAATGCATATGCTGTACAAAACATGGATATGCTTTTCTGTAGCCCAACATTTCTGTATTTAAATTAACAGAAATAAGCCCTGGCACGACTATATACTCAACATTTTTAAAAATAAATATAATGCGTTTGTTGGGATGGACCTGTATATAAACAAATACAAAAGTGATTAGCGTGATTAGAAACAGGCAAGTTGATTAGTAACATAGAGCAGGTGGTGGGAGTGAGAAGTAACAGATCATCCAAGACTATAACTAGATTCTAGCAAAACCACGAAACAGCAGCAGCAGAAATAAACAACACTGCTACTGTTGGCAACTAATACCTGCAGGTGGGCTTTGAGAGATTTTTTGCGATGCTATCATAATTTATAAAAACATCTAAATGCAAAGTAAATGCAAAGTAAAGTATTGATCTGTTGATCAACAATCCAGTTAGCAACAAGTGCATTGTGTCAAAGCAGCTGAAATTCAGCAACTGCGTGCCTTTCAGCCGTCTTCAGTCATGCTCCACTCGTATGCGTCCGTATAGAGGCTCAAGGAATGGGAGGCAGGGTTGCTTGGCAACCAACGGTCAGAATAGGATTCAGCTGACAAAGATTGTATTCAGGATGTAGACCTTCAGCGAAGAGTACAAAACCTGGAGGAAAAACAAACCCGGCTCTCTGAGGATGAGTGTGCAGAGACGTGACCCTGGCGTGCGGTTTAAATGGCAGCCCACTTGGGAGTCTCAACCATCTTTGTGAAGGAGGTTTAAAGCATGAGGGTCGAGCTTTTGGCGTCCACCCATCTACACAAATAAATAGCATTAATGCACTATGGCTGACTGCAGGACATACTGTCTGAATGCCGTCAGCTCTGCAGATGAAGCATAAGAAAAATATTTCCTCTATTAAGAACACTCCAAGTTAACAATTTTGGTCACTGGCTAAAGTCACTGAAGACATTATGAATCCGTATAGTTTCTAAACTGGTTCTTGGCACAGTCAGAGGTAAATTATTGCAGATATATCTTTTGTTGCACCTGTAACACACCTTTAAGTCAAAGCACAGCAGTTTCTTTTCAGCAAACGTCTCAGCTATACAGCATGAACACCAGTCGTTTGTCAGCCAAGGCTAAAATGGCGATAATACACTGACCAAAGCAGGTCAAAGTATTTTGACGTAGACAGTGAGATATTTTATTTTGTGCAACATTTTAAAGATTGGGTTTTCTGCAGTATGCACGTGTTGCTGTGCCAGTTGCACTCATCCTTTCTTAGAGCATCTCAATGTCAACATAACTGTGTCCAGCTGTCAGTTTTCAACCATAATTACCAGTTTAGACAACAACTACAGTTCTGCTTTTCCCTTTTCACATGGCTGCTGTCAAGCAACCACATCTCTAACAGAGTGGCACGGCCCATCAGCCCTCATGTCATTTGTTACCTTGAAGCACGCTGATGCCTCTGGGTGTGCAGGGAAACATGCCATACACCTCAATTAGCATACATCATGATAACCCCTGCACTGCTTCTGGGAGAGCACTCGGTGTGTGCAAACCTTTGTAAAGAGCACATACTATTGATTACCGAGGCAAAGTCATTAGCAAGGGGCTTTAATCAAACAGCTTGTTAATGAGCGGCGGAGCATGACCGCCCCTCCTCACGTGTAAACTTCACACCCATCCCCTCCTGCCTCCCCTCCTTCTATTCCCTCTGGAGACTATTCAATCATGCTGGCTGTGGAGTGCCTCGCCATTCTTTGGTGCTGAAAAAGAGGAAAGGTTTCCTTTCTTTCTGAAACCAATTAGGTTTTCCTTCAGCTTTGTAGCAGGGATACGGACTGATGGCGTCCATAGAAAGGAAATGCATTTTAGTACCCCTGGATCGTCGCGGAAGCTCATTTATGTTTTTCATGTTGTAGAAATCCTGTTTTGAAGATGATGCGTCTGGGTGAAACCATCAAAGGAGGAAAATCCTTCTTCTTCCTTGTCTTTATTTGTGAACTCTCTCAGCCCCTGTCAAGTATTCTTGAGTAAAACATTAACGAAATTATCTCACTGCTCTTTGTCTTCCCATGTTAACTTCTGAACCTAAAACTGATGGAGAACATTAGAAAGGATTGACTGAAAAAGAAGCCAAGAGTATACACTGTGTGAATTATAAAATTAAGTAATTAATGTAAAAGTGAATAAATAATAAACGCTTGTTTAAATAAAAAAAAGGATTTTTGTTGTTGGGAATACATCTAAAGAACATCAAGAACATCTAAAAATGGAAGTTGATACAGTGTCAACATTTCATTAGGCTGTTGTCAAGTAAACTCATGATAAGCGTCTTATCTTGGTGAGCTAATGGCTTCACAGATGTACTTTATGAGATAGATATGATAACTTAAGCTTCAAAAGTTAAGCTGCATTTGCTAATTGCTACATGAACTTACTCTGAAAGATTTTGGTCTAAACTAAGTCTGCATACAGACTTATTACTATTCATAACTTCTGAGTTAAGAACAAATAAGTGCAACGTGAGGCTTTGACAATACATTTTCATCTATTGCTGAGTCGTCACTGGCAAACATCGCCACCTTAGCATGTCATGAAAGCAACAAGCTTTAACGTGAATTCTTTACTCAGAGACCAAGTGAGCGCCAGAGATTTTAAAATGTTCTCACTGTTCTCGGTGTTATCACAAGCTGATGTTCTCCATCTTCCCCATGTAAGATTAACGTGTTGGAATGCAAACACTGCTAGGAATCAAAACATACAGTTAGCTTTAGGTCATGATGCAGTTTCATAGTTTTGCATACATGCATACTGCAGCTAAGATGGATAATTCAGAGCCAAGGAGGTTGTGATTTCTGCTAATCGTGTTTCGTGCAAAGTGGGACGTCTTGGAAAAAGAGAAAACCTGCATTCGTACTTCAGGAATGAAACTTTACCATTCATCATTTCATTCATTTTGGTTTGTTTCTTTATTATTAAATATAAATTCTGGATGCGATTTCAAAACAACATCAGAAGAAGTGGATGTGGCTAAAGCCTGCCTCCTATTGGCAAGTGTTTGTCCTCGGCCCCCAACACACTCATGCATATTTCAGCAGGAGAGGAGAGAAAGAATCAATGGAGCAGCCAGGGAGGAGGACACATGGGAATCCAGACTGTGGTTTACGGGCTGCAGACGTAGCACACATTGTTTGGAAAACCGAGCCGGGGGTGACACGTATACAGACGGGTCAGTCCACAAAGGGACCTTCTGCAGAATATTTTATCACAGGATGGCATCTTTTATTCCGACGATCACATTGGTAAAAAAGGGGAGTAAAATACTTGGCCCCTTTAAAAGCAGATTAAAGCAGATAAATACGGGGGGGGGGGGGGACAGATGCCAAGTCAAACACCTCTAGTTTTATTAGCTGACAAAATGTAGGAATAAAACCAGAAAAGAAATTATGACTTTAAGGAGGACAGACCCATTATATGGTGACTGATGAGATGTTTATCCAGCATGTCAGATTTGACCCCTGTCAACCTTAACATTTTAATCCGCAGGATGACAGCTGAGCCAAACCGTGCTGGAGTTTCCTTTGAAGCTGCTCGATTGGTCGGTCTCTTTGCGCATGTCTTTGCTTGTAGCATCGATTCACCCCCTCACTCCCGCCCCTGGCTGCCAGTGTGCCGTGTTAAACACACATCTGCACACGAGAGGAGAGGATCCGTGTGTATTACCACAATTTTAATGGTTTAGTAATGAAGGGTTTATTAGTGATAGGCGTGAGGGGGGGCATAGGGGGTGAGCGAGGAGTCGTGGACAGTGGCAGGAAACGGATGGGTTTGTAAGGTCCCCTGGGAGGCTGTGCTGCACTCATTTTAATTCCTTCTTCCTTTACAAGGCTTGATGAAATCTATAAATAATGTTTTGATTGAGATTCAACTCACCTCACTGAAACTACAATCATCACATACCCTGGTCATGCATTGGTCTCCTTATTTCTTTTGCCAGTAGCTTTTGTATGTTTTGTGTTGCAGATCTACACATGTCCGTGTGTGAGAGTGAGAGTGTGTGTGTGTGAGCATGCATGCTTATGTCTGGATTAGAGCTGCATGTGTGCTCAGCTGGTGCCTTGAGTTGCAATTTCATTTGGTTTAATGAGATTTGGACAAAGCAACCCAAGAGATTATTTGGTCCTCATTGCCAGAGCTACACGTCCAAGAAGCTTGTGATAATTACAGTGTTTTGTGTGTTTGTACGCATGTATGTGTGTGTATAATGTCCTGCTTTTCATATAAATAAGAATCCCCAAACATGCACCGACCTTCCTCTCTCGTGTCACCTTTGCAGATGCTGAATGAGCATCATGTCATGGTTCGTGTCGGCGGTGGGTGGGACACTTTCATAGGCTACCTGCAGAAACACGACCCCTGCAGAGGCGAGGGAGGAGCAGGAAGAGGGACGCCGGGAAGGCCTGATGTCAGGCTCTGTCGGGACAAATTAAAACCCGCCGGTCTGAACGTTTCAACAGAAAACTATATGGTGGTTGGTGTTCACCACAGGGGAAAGAAATAGAGTCTCAAAGAGTTATTTTAATAAAACAGCTTGAACCTATTTTTTTTTTTTTACCTCAGTGTTTAAAGCCAAAATTCCCCTATTTTTATGCATCACTGACAGAGGTGACTGTCCTTTCAGGATATCTGAGATGGGTTTTCTTTTTTACTAACTTAAGAATTTTAATAGTTAACGAATCTGTGCTAACTTAAACATTTCTACTAACTGCTTTTATTTTTACATTGAATAATAAAGCAGAACACATTGATAAGTCAGGGATAAATATTGAAATAGCTGCTTACTGGAGCACTAGCTTTTTCTGTAGCAGTAGCCATGATGATCTGGATGGTCTGAAGTATTACGATCGAGGAACTGATTAATATAAACCACAAATAATCTAGGATCAGTTGTATATTTCAATAATGACTATTATGTTTAAGTATGAATGCAAACTGTTCTTCTTCTTCATGCTAAATGTTGGAGTAACAGGTCTTGCCAACAATAGATGGTTAAATGTAATGGCTCCATGTGTTTGTCTTTCTGTTGTTTATGGAATCAGGGGTTTAAAAAAAGAGGAATAACTCGTTTTATTGGCTGTTTAATATGACAAGGCAAACATAATTTAAATTTGTATTAGGGCATAAGTATTAGTGTGATTATAACATCACTACAGACAGCTCCATGACAACACGATGACAGATCTGCAGCAGTAAAGCAACAAGCATGATAAAAATTACCTTGTATGTTATTCTGCTGAAAAATCATGTCTTTTTTTTTTAATCAACCTACATTCCTGTTTTTGTTTTTAACGTTCTAAACTTTCTAGATTCAGAATCTCTCAAACCTCAAAAGTGTTCTTTCTTTGAATTTACTTCTCTTCCCTTACGAACTCTTCGTTAAAGTAGATGTGTTTTGTTTCTATTCTTTTGTTTGATGTTATTATTTGGATATAACCAATAGATTAGTCTGATCACTAAGAGGTTTACTGTTGATGCTTTATTATTAACCTGTTCGAATGATGACCAGTTTCAATTGACTTGTGATTAAAATAAAAACATCTTTAAAAACGTTTCATCAATTTTATCATATCTCCTTTAAATATATATTACCATTCTGTCTGTCTATGAGCCATGACTTCTCGTCTTACCCTTAAAGTGTTGCTGCACAGTCACAAACAGGCAGTTATTCTGCTAGTGAAAGTTAAAGTCGACCTTGAAAAAGAGACCAGGAGCAATGACTCACTGCACTTTTTTCTACATGTAATTCTGCAGTTATAAAATCACTGGTTTAAAATCAATACATATTCCAATAGTTTACGCTAGTGCTGTGGAAAAATCGTATCCTGATCACACAAATACTAAGCGACAGCGTTTTTGTACAATGATGAAAGCAAAGCACACTGGCTCTGCTTTCCATCAACTCTATTCAAAAGCTCCCTCTAGATGGCACCATGTCCTCATTGACAAAAGGCCATGCCTCGCCCCGGCAGCTTCGCTCTTCTGGACCGCACTCCAAAGAACTGCTTCCAGTTTCAGCGCCGCAGATCCGTTAATAGGAATATCCCCCTGCTTTCTCAGTAAGACTGGAGTTGTCACGTATTCACTCTTTGAAAGGAAAAGAAATTAGAAGCGGATCAAACAAGGATAATTTGCATTTGAGGGTAATGCAGATAGCAGGCACAGATGAGAAGAAACAGCACGCACAGCATGTTAATAAATACATATTTTATTACATTAAAATAAATCAATTAAAAATGGACACAGATTTGTTTTTTTATCATATATTGAAAGAAACTAATGAGATCATGCAAGACTGTAATGTCTTTTTAAATCCCACACAACATCTGAAGTGGATGCACCCAGTATAAATGAACTGTAGAAAATAATAGCTGTGCTACTGAAACACGTGCCACTCTGAGGGGGCGGCGTTTTCTCTCGCAGTACAAAGTTCCTCATGAAACACGCAGGAGGGAACCACTTGAGAAGGATTTTACAACCTTTCTGAGTTGAATTGTTTTCAAGTGTTCTTTGTTTTTGATATTTTGAGAGTCTTGCTACGGTGTGCTGCAGTTCTTGTTTTTTTTTTTTTTATCAAGTCAGGGGCGGTGTAATTCTGTGCTTCACGATATTTGTAAAACTTAGATGGCACATCAAGGCCAGAGAAGTCAAATTTCCCCACCGACAACGTACAAAACGTCTTGAGGGGGCGGTGTGCAACTGTGTTTGAGACACAACACCTAATACTTGTAGTAAATGACCTATACATACAGTTACTGTAACTGTTTTCATTTATATTTATATCAATACACACGAGTTTGGGTGTGAGCTCAAAACTTGAGAAACCCAAATCATCTTGTTGCGTTGCATTCTGTCAATTTTCTTTGTCACAATCTTACACAAAAATCTTCATATATCATATTCAGAGCTTCTGATATACAAGAGCCTGGACCCTGAACACGCGCCGTGGAACGAGGCTCCTCACATGCCCTGATCTTCGTTTGCTACCTTGTGTAGCCTTATAAAAGCATATCTATCTCACACTCCAGGCTCACTGACCTTTACATGATGCAGCAAAGTGCAAAGATCTCACCACACACTGACGGTACAAGTTTCAGTCATGCGTTAGCTAATTTTCTCGTTAATGGCAATACTGGAAGGACTGAACATCACATAAAGTGTTGTCAACACACTATGACACCTTATTTTATATGAGTTATTTGACATAGTTGACAGAAGGATGATCAAGACCCATACCAGGCAATCGACACCTGACATTAATACTTGTATCATGAACCACTGATGAAAGTTATTGTATTTTTTTTTTAATGAAGTTGTTCTAGTCAGTGAGAAACAGTTGTGATCTCTGGAAGGTGATGTTCTCTGTTAATTCCTAATACCTGAAATGACCACTGGGAAAAAATAAAAATAAGTCTCTTTTTCCTTTAAGCTGAATATTAAATCCTTTTGGCTCAACATGACTTTCAGAGCTATTCACAATATTTAATTATATAATACACAAATACAATGTTTGTTTCTTTTTTTTTAACAAATGAAGTGTTAATCATTTAAACTCTATCCTCATTGCCAATTTAAATAAGAAAACCCCAAGAGTTTGAAACACTACCTGTACCCATCAGCTTGTTGTTTTCAGAAATCTCATTAAAAAAAAGAGATATTTCATAATCCATGTGTTGCATCCAATAACAAAACCTATTTGGTATTTGGATGTTGTGCTTTCCAACAAAGATTTGTCTAGTTACTTACTGCTTTTTTTTTTTTTAAATGAAAATCGAATGACAAATTAAAACAAAGATGGGTGATAAGATATTTTCTGTGCCTTTGCAAGTTTCACATTTTAAAAGTTAGTACACAATAAAAGTTGTTTTTGCTTAATAGAAAAAAATATTTTACAGTTTGAGAAGGGACACTGTGATACTGTCAGATCGGTAACCCTAGCCTCGGTCTTAAGCCTGCTTTTATGGAATAAACACTGCATTTCTTCTGATTTTGTGGATCTTCACAAATGTTAAGTTTTAAGTAAACTCCATTTATAATATACATAACCCTCTTCACATTTTCTGGCACCTCTGGTAAAGAAGCATAAAAGAAATCTAAATAAGCTTTTAAATAAACCCGCCATAATCAAGCAGAAAAAAAAAAACCCATGTTGAGAAATAATGTTTTTCACAAAATCATCAGCGGTACAATTATTGGCACCCCTGGTGTTAATACTCTCCAAAACCCCTTTTTGCCAATAGATCAGCACTTAATTCTCTCTTATTGTATTTCACAATACTGCACCATACAGAAAGAGGATGTTTTTAGTCCTGGACTTCGTCTGAAGCCGCCTCTTCTTCACCTCATCAGACATTTTCTATAACAATTAGTCCATCGAAGAAGGTCTATTTTGTGTCGGGGGAAACATTTGTGCCCTGATTCAGACAAATGTTTTGAATCATTAAACTTTTGAAACTCTGGATGAATTTTCTGGCATCTCAAAGAGTTCATGATTCCAGTAACTCTAAGAAGGTTTCAAGAGCCTTTGCAAAAGAAAGTATTGTATATGTATAGCAGTGAGCATGAGGTGCTTTTCCAAGCATGTTTTTTTTTTTTTCAGACACATCTGGAATATAGCTAAAAAGTTCAGTCTTGATCTATTAAACCTAAGAACAGTTTCAGATAAAGTCCAGGTAGCCTTTGGAAAACTGCACATCCCTACATTTATAATGGTGGAAGACTTTTTTTTTTCTAGAATCACACCCAAATAAGCAGATTTAGTGAGGCCAAGATGCCAATATTTGCTGCAGTGCTCTAGTAATGACTTTTTCTTTTTTTTTTTTTTTTTTTTACCATCCGCCTTACTTTGCACAACGGTAAAATAAGCCGGGGTGCTTATCCATCCTGGTGGCTAAATAAAATGTACGTCGGTGTCACATTAAATTTATATTCCAGGTAAATGGGAACAGTTTACTAATTAAAAGTTCTGAAACCATCCATTGTCTGAACTCGGTCTTTTCTTGTCAGGGTTTTAATTGGTTTCTTAGAGAAGTCAATTAATCCAACAGGCATGTTTTTAGTGTGGGGTGAAGCTGGAGGGAACCTACGCTTGCACAGGGAGAAAAGTTTATGCAGAAAGACAAACGCTAGGATTCAACCTGCAGCTTGAGTCCAAAAACATTAAAACGATTAATATACAAAATAAAAGAAGAAAATTTTAAGTTTCAGAAAAATTGCTAAGGGTACAAATAACTACAAAACAGACAAAAAAAAGCACTTTATTTCTCAACGTGAGTTTCACCCCCCCGGCTGTGTAGATGTACACAGATTAAAGATCGATTTTTTTTTTTTTCTGAAAATTTTCAGTTGATGGTGCTATAATAAATTATTTATTTTAAGACGTTTTAGAGATCTTTATCAGGAGTGTCACTACAAAGGGAGCAGTACATATGATTAGCACCGCTGCCTGTTTCCTGCTTGTTTTCTGTGCTGCAAATGATATGGAGATATTTGCCCTTCTCACAATGTTTGACTTTACAGCATCTCTATAATTAGGTTAGGAAATCATGAGTGTGGTGTTGCACTGATGACCACCGTTGCTTTTCTTGTTCTCTCCGAAATAGCTTAATGTGCTTGTGTTCAGCGGTTGCGAGACTAAAAAGTCTCGGAAACGCTAACCCTAACCCTAACCCTAAAGAATATGTTTTAGACACAACTAAAACATATTCTTTAGCTAATAGCTTGGTTTCGCTTCTTGGTTTCTGTCAGGTTATTATTAATCTGTCACCAAGCAACGGTGCTGCATGAGCAATAACGTCAACATCAGGTCAGAGCTCAGCAGCTTCTCTGTTGTCATACTTTTCATGTTTTTGTTGTTTTGTTTTTTTTTACTTGGCTTTTGGGTTTACAAATCATTCTTAATCTCATTTACTGTTAGGAGAGAAAAGTTAAAAAAAAAAGAAGAATATTAATTTCACACAAATATCTGGCTCTACATAGAAATGCATTTTCCTCGATGTTCGAGGCTAATTCTCTCTAGTGTGTTATATCACACTGGTGTAATATTTTTACAAGCCGCAACCTTATACAGCTGATTAATTTTTCATACCAGTTTGTGTTTTTCACTAAGATATGAGCAACAAAACGCCTGTTTTTTTTTTCCTTTTTCTTCTTCTTCTTCTTCTTCATTACAAACAATGACACAGATCAGAGTCCTGGCAGGATGTTCTGGACTGATGTTTGCTTTGTTGACTTTTTTTCTGTTTGAGGATTTCTCTCAAGATTTCTCCAGGGGAACTGAGAAGATATGTGTTTGCATGTGTGTTTCCTTCGTAGGAGTGTAAGTGGCTTTATTTGTTTCAAAGAGCACCATTTTAAGAGTAATTCTATTCAGAGATATCTGTTCTCTTTAAAGCGCCAGAAAAATCAGCATCTCAGAAATCAAAACAGACAACAACAACAAAGAGGGCTTTTTTTGAAGCCGTTTCCCACTCATGAGCTGCTGTACAAGTTGTTCTTCATGTTCCTGAAGGTCCATCGAGGGGGTTTTTGATGTGTGAAGTTCGTCTTTTATTTTGTTGCGTTTTTGTCACAGATCAGGCACACTGTACACTGAAAGGATATGGCCACGTTGAGGGTGTGGTGATACGGTGATTACACGAGAACTGTTTCAGAGTTAAACATGGGAAGGTGTGCTTTGTGCGTTTGGTGGGTCAGTCTCCGTGTAACACCTCATGTCACACGGTTCCGTTCTCCTGCCTCGGTTTGTGGGTCGTCGTGCGAGCGGGCGTGCTCAAGGAGGGAGCCAGAGTGCAGAGGAAGCCGGCCAGCAATGTGAGGCCGAGGCCCCCCCAGGCACAAAACATGGACCAACCGTAGCCGTGGCTAATGTCTTCAGGGAGGCCGTACATGTAGCGCGGGTAGCGGGACAACTCGAAGTTGATTCCTGCCACGCATGTGCACAAGGAGATGATGCAACATGTTCCTGTGTGAGCAGAAGAGACCAAAGGTGATTCAAAGGGACTCCTGATCAATTGCTAAGATTCCTTCATGCGCTGCAAGATCGCGTTACTGCAAGCGATTGATCTGCTGTCTCATGTTAGCCCGAATGTGCTCTCAGCCGTCACCAGATAAACACAGTAACTGGATGAAAATCAGATTCTGTCTGCATGCAAGTGTGCAGATGTGTGTGTACGTGATTTCGCAGTACCTCCCATGAGAAAGAGTAGGCCGGCTACATATTGCATGAGGTCATGCTGCTGGCAGCATCCCAGCACTCCGATGATCCAACCAAAAAGAATGATGGACACGGCCATGCCCACAAAGCCGGCTGTCATTCTTCTTAGATCTGGAGGGATATAAACATTGCAGAGTCAGCGTTTGGACAGAGAGGTGTTATAACAAATTTTAAAACTTTAAAATTTGGATTTTACTACTCATTTAATCTTTACATGTTTAAAGATTAGTGTGCAAAGATCAAGAGGAAAAAGTGGACCTGTATTTTTGGGAGAAATTAAAACACTAGGTGAACAAAGACAAGCCAAGAATCGAATAAACCCTGAATATGCAAACATTATGTAAATTCATGAGCAAAGAACAAAAAAAAGGAAAAACTAAAAATCTGAGCACAAAAACCATGACACATTCGATCTGAGGTCAATTAAATGTCACCAATTCATCTAACATACAAATGGTTTGACACTTGAAGGAACCTGAAACACTTTAAGAAGAAACAACACACACAAAGAGGAAGAATCTGAAGAATAAAATAAATTTATTTTCTACAACAAACCAAATGCTTCTTTAGGACGGGTGCGATCATTTTTTTTTTTTTACAATCGTAGCAAGCTTCATTGCAAATATGCGTCTTTAAGCTTTCAGGAGGTTTTTCTATCATGATCTTAGGGGACACAAGTTTTTCTCATGGTGTGTGCATGTATGTAGGCGATACCTACAAGCTAGTTTAGGTGTGTCAACTTCTGCCGTGCTGCTGCTTCATTTGTGATCCTTCACACACTTTGCAGAATATATGAAGCATAGTCTAACATTTTCGGTGGTCTATTTAAGCTGCGAGGCATTCTGCTGCACTCTGCACATCATGTTCCGCCTGCCTGCCTGCCGGCCGGCCGGCCAGCCGCTGCTGCTGCCAGCTTTTGCTTGTTTCCTCTCAGCCCCTCCACCACCCCATCATCCCCCCTCCTGAGCTCCGAGGTCAGATATCCCCTCCTCACTTCCTGACTTGTGCAAGACATGTTAAGGAAGCAGAGATGTGCCCATCACTCCGTGACATGTTGAGCAGCATGGAGTGAAGAGACCGGAGCCTAGATACCAAATGCAAACTTCTAATTCTGATGAAGATTTATTTAAAGATCTACAGAAGAGTTTTGTGACTGGAATAAAATACATTTCTTATCTTACTTGTTCTTGATGTTGTGGTCGCTTGGGATTGCAATCTCTGTTTGCTTTTCTTCTTTGTTTAGTCCCACAATGGTTGGTTAACCATCATTTGTTTCCACAGTTTATTGGTCTTAGCAATCTATTGAAGTGGATTCAGAGTCTGAACTGGAATCTAACAGATAATCGGTCGAGGAGGCTAAAAATTAGGGTGATGGCAAGGAGACGTTCTAGCCTCAAAGCCAAAAACATAGTCTTATTTTCACATCAGAAATTATTATTTTTTTGGTTCAAGTAAAGCTATTTTAAATCTTTGCTAGGTGTATGAATAAAAACCACAAATGCATGAAACTTGAAAGAAAAATGTTCCTATTTGTTTTGTGCAATTGTACTGGACTTTCTGTGTGGTCAATTACAATGTTGTGGTAATAAATACCACAAATAATAATGTTTTAAGTGATGCTTGTGGCTCTATTAGGAAACAGCTGATCAAAACTGAGTCGTTCTTCAGCTACACCTCCAAAACAGTAAAGGAGCTAAACAACTTTTTCTTATTATGATTGGATGACATAAAATATAGGTACAGGAAGAAAATTTAGTCCATGCAACATCTTGACACTGCCTCTGAAAAAGTTATTGTTAATTAAGTTAACCTCTGTAGTTGCTTGATAAAAAATAAAATAAAAATCAGACAATTCCATGGGTGCAACTCAATGCTTATAGGCACCTAGATATGTTGAAGAAAAATTTCTCATGTTAAAACTGAGAATCTGAATGGGAAAATTTAAAATTTCTCAGTTTATTACTGAATATGTAATAAACTGCTCATCTGCTGGGATTTTCACACACAACCTTCTCTCAGGATTACCGAGAAAAGTCTGAAAAGAGAATAATATCCAATGAAAGCGATAATATCTTTGTGATTTCAGAGGTCAGAGGAGACGCAGCAGGACTGGTTCAAGATCATAAACAAGCAGCAGTACCTTCAATAAACACGCATTACAATCAGGTTATTCAAAATACTATTTCTGAAAGCATTGCACATTGCAGCTTGACATGCATGAGCTACAACAGCGTCACATGCCACTGGATGCCACTCCTAGCAGGAGTGAGAACCTGTATACATGTTATGCAGGGTCACCAAAATTGGATAAAATCAGACTAGAAAAGTGTCATCTGCTCCAGTGAAACATACATAAACAACATGCAAGCATGGATCCTTCCTGCATCCTGAGTGCCGATACTTCATAATAAAATGATACTTCATAATAAAAGTTAAAAGTACAGTGTATTAAAATACTCTTAAAAGTACTTGTTTTGCCAAGAAGTTACTCAAGCAAATGTAACTGAGTAAATGTAACCAGTAACTGGTTGCATTTACTTTTTTTTTTCTTTTTTTAAGCAAATGCGATTTTCAACTTTAATTTTTTCTTTCCTGTCTTTCTTTTCTTAAAAACACATTACAAATGACAGAAAATATATATTTTTAAATATTTATTTCCTTCATCCCCTTCTGAGAGTTGACCTGAATTCACAATCCAGCTAAATCCAAACTCTAAAATATGGGTGTAAGACAAGATGATATGTCATGGGCAGACTTAGAAAAAAAATCTAGATTTTCCAAAAGTGAAATAATTAACAGAAAATTTGATTCATAGATACAATCGATTTGTTGCCTAGTCCTAATCCCTCGGTCACTGTATCTAAATCCAATGGAGCACCTTTGAGATGTGATGGAACAGAGAGATTTGCATAATGGATGTGCAGCAATTAAATTAGCGCTACCATGTCAGCATGGATCAAAATATTTTGGACATCTTTATCCCATAAAAATTAAGACTTGCTCTGAAAGAAAGGGAGTCCAATATCTTGTTTGCAAGGTGTACCCAAAAAAGTGGCACCTGTCTTTCTAAAATAGCAACAAAAACTCCATATTAACATGCCCAGGGAGGGGATCCTGCACTGTCCATCACTAACAACTCCTCTGCTGCAGTAGTTTGACCTCCCAAACGCTACGTCACTTATTCTGTTGCTTGTCCAAGTAGGTATGTTCTTCCTTTGCTTGATTAAAGAATCATATGCATTGCCTAATCTGCCTGTATCAGCCTTCACTACCGGCGTCACTAAACAGAGCAATAAATATACATTTTTAAAGAAGTGGTCAACGCGCTTTGTAAATGTGTGCAGTCATGATTATGCATGAACCGTGATAACATGATGTGGGCGGGGGAGTTGATGGACTCAACTGATTTGTTACCAAACTAACTAAAATCTGTGGAGTTTGGCCTGTGACAAAAAATTGTTATACTGTAGGTAATATAAATTAGGAACCAAAATTGAAGACATTTTTCTGTAAAAACAATGAAAATGCACTTAATGGTTAGCAACAGAATAGGTTGTCCCCACATGTATTCCCACTTAAAATGGCTAAAATCACAAACAGGCATATCAGGTCAACATGATGAGAAGCCTTCCAATTTTCTGAAAGAAATTTAATGTTTAAAACTCAGAGAAGCAAAGAGAACCCCTTCAGAACATTGTTGCATCTTTTGAAGGAGTACATGCCTTTATGCTCAGAAAGGTCCTGCACCAGTGTGACCTACATAGGAGGTCTGCAAAAACAAAGCCTCTGATTTCTAAGGAAAACACAAAGGCCAGACTAAAGCTTGTCAGATAGAAAGTTCACAAAGATTTTGACATCAGATTACATGTTTAGCATAATTCAAATTCAACACTCCAGAAAATAACCTTCACTAACTGAGAAGCATGGAGGTGCAGGTGTCATGACTTGGGGATGCTTTGTTTCGGTAAAAGTGGGCAAGCTCAACATTATATAATTCAGAATTGACTCGATGGCATAACATTGGCGTTCTCATAGCAACACGCTAAATTGGATTCCATCTCTGGCAATTTTAGGAATTACAGCTTTCAGTCAGCTCTGCTACTGGTGGGTCACCTTTAGCCTTTAGGGCACATCTTTTAATTTCAAAATCTGAATCTTTTTTCTCCTCTTTGAGCTCTGCTCTGACAGGTGCTTCACCAACATGAAAGCGAAGGTCAACACATTTATCGTGTGTATTTCACAAACGTTTTGCATAATACTATAAATTAAACAGTCTTGTGAAACTGTGTTGGTCTCTAAGGAGTTTCATGAGGAAGTATCTAACCCTTTCATGCATAGCAATCACTACAGTGGACAGCTACCTAAAAGCCATTTTCTTGTGTTTCTTGTGGATTTTTATGTTACAAATGGACACAGATCACTGAAGAGGACACTAATGCATCATAAAATACACCATCAACTACAGGCCATCAGCTGCAAATGCAAGAAATTATTTTTGTTAAATCCAATATGGCCGACAGACAAAAAAGCATGCAGACCAACCCGGTCCCTCCTTCTACTGTAGGCGACTCTTCCAGGTAAAAAAAAAATATTGTGACATCAGATAACCCCTAAAGAACAATACTACTGATGATTTTTCAAATAACAACTTTGTATTTGGAGAAAATTACAATTGATCGCCTTTTTTTCACAAATGTTTTTTTCCTACCTTTTTTTATGCCTTAAGACAATAAAAAAAATTGGAAAAAAATCCTGACACAAAGAAGCACAATTCATGCATGAAAGGGCTGATGTAGGTTTAACGTAAATGTATTATACGTAATAAAGCATTCTGTCCTACTTTTATATTGTTACAGTGATGATAGTTCTCCTTTGTGAAGTAAGTTTTTTTTTTTTGTTCAAACGTTTTTACTAAAATAAACCACATGTGGTGATTCAACCAGATTTCTTTTTCTATATGCAAAGTGCATATTGCTGCCAATCACACAAGCTACAGATGCTGAATACATCAGTGAGCAAATTGCCGCTATACATGTTCCCTGACAAATAGAGTGAGATAATCAGTGAATGAATAATTGACCTTCTGATTGGAGGACGGCTGATTTATTCCCTGAGGAGTGGCACACCACTAATTATTACAGCCGCCATTGCTGCTGTGTAACAAGAGGGAGGAGATAGGCTTTAAAATACTTAAGGACAACAAATTAAATGTTACTGAAAGTTTGATTTGTTTGACAGCTTGGAAAGAAAGCCATATGTAATAAATATGTGCAAAGCAAAACCAACAAGACTGGTCCCAGACCATTCTCAAGCTCAAGAGATAAATGAGAAAGATATATGACATTTTTAGTCATTTTTAGGTGACTAAAAATGGCAAAACAGACAGAGAAAGTCTATGAGACTTACGGAGAGCATGCCACTCATCCTGACGTATGGTCTTTGTGATGTTGATGGGTAAATTCCGTGGAAGGATGGATGAGGAGTAGTGATACTTGACTGGGGTACACCTTTGAATTATTCCTGGTAAAAAGACAAAATGGAAAAGACAGTTATAATCAGAGCAGCAAGATTTACTGAAGGAGAGAATGAAGTTAGAATTGTATTTTAAACCTTTGCTCTTTTTCTCTGGGATGATGCGACGATGTGTGCACAGACATAACATTTATTTTTCACCCTGTCTGAGTTTTAATTTTCCGAGCTGGGCCTTTTAGCCTTGTTGTTCCCCCACTCTAGCACAGTAATTAAAGAGGGATTAGGAAACAATGTGGTACATGGATTATACTCCCAAAGGTTTCATATGTAAATGTTGTGATTTAAAGCAAATCTCATCATATTTGTGCATGAATTCTGTTTTTCAGACTCCATCTCTGTGTTCTTGCTCTGGCTCATTTCTAGCAGTTTCTGAGCAAATCAACACTTTATATATTGAAATAAAGACTGATTTATTAAAATAAACTGGAGTTTCTTTCATAGGTCAATGGTGACATAAACATTTTTTATTACATTTCTTGAAGAATTCAGACAATCTTTCAATCAAAACACAACAAGAGGTACAGCTTTTTTGTTTACTGTATGGGATCTTTAAGGTTTTAGATGATAGTTTTTGATAATGGCATACCAGGCTATAATTTGTCATGATGTGTACTTATGTAAATAAAGAAAAAAAAAAACTAGAATATGACAAGAAAATTGTTGGTGATGAAAATATGCTGTGTTGTTAGTAGATTTCACATCTTTTAGCAACCTCAGATCTGACAATAAATTGGTGATATTGAAAGCATAAAAGGAGCAAACAGATTTATATAAATCTAGCAGTGTTGATCCATATAAATTACACCAGGATAGAAAGAAAGCATCTCAAGTTGGGATTTAAGTGATTAGTAAATGGGGATTGTTCACTGCTGAAACCAACCTCTAAGATTCTCACTTCAAAAAGTCTAAGAAAATCTAAAAGAAAATCCATGCCAATATTCATTTGGTAACAGTGTCATGTCTACAAACATTATGGTTTGATATGTATTTGGGTTTTTAGTATGCTTCAATTTAAATAAGAGTTTGCACATATTTGAGAATAAAACATCTTCAAATCACTTTGGAGTTGCTTTAAAATATTTCAGTAATCTAGCAACCCGGCTCTAGCTGAATGCAGTATGTCCGAGTGTTGGGACAATCCCTTCTCATCAACAAAGATTACTCCAATGCAATTTAGACGTATGGAGTTTGGGATGATTGGATGCTACGAGTAGCCATTTGGAGCTGATTTTTCTTTACCATCAGTTGTGTTTACATCGTTTCAGGTGTGAAATTCAGCTAAGTCCAGAGTGAGCAGCATTCCTTCACAGATGCATACGCTGAGATAAAGTTTTGGTTCAGTAAACCTTACTTTCTCTGTTGTAGCTGCAGGAAAACCTTGATATTCCCAAAGGCCACGGATTAGTAACAGCTGGGAATCATCTTTGCTTTCTTTTGGCGTTGCTGTCTGAAGTTATAAAACTGCATCGTGTGCAAATAAACATTCTGTACGTTCAAGTACAAAACAGTGCTGTATTCAATCTGTGCACATGGATACTGACAGAGTTATACCAATATTACAAATACGTGTATTGTTACACCCCTACTGACAAGAACATAAAAAGATGTTTATTCTGAATGGGTAAAACCCGATTTTTAAGTTGTCCGCCAGATCTCAGTTTAAAGGGGCAGTATTAAACATTTTTCAGGCACTACTAGATTATAGCATAATCTAGTAACTATTTCACCTTCAGCTGTTATAAAAATGCTGATATATCAAACATGACTTAAAAGAAATGTGACTTCGCAAATTAACGCCTTGAAATTGGGTCTCTGTCTCTTTAAGAAGTCCCTGCTCTTTCTGACACAAGGCCTTCATCACATCATCACAACGTTTCTCTTTTAAGTTGTTTACAACATTCTTTGGAGCGTTGCACTGAGAAGCAGTTCCTATGATGACCTCAGCAGATTCTCAGGTCCACCAGATGCTTCCTAATTGTTGCTACCACTAGTCTGGAGGAGCTGAGTGGGGGAGGGGTGTTATGTGAGGCAGAAGCTCAGCTTAGAGACTGCAGCTGCGTGGAAAAGGCGACACTGGTGAGACCAGGTGTTTATGGACCTCCAAATGGTTGCCATGGGAGATTAAATAATTTCTCAAACATGCATTAAAGAATCAAAGCAACGCTATAATGTTATACAAACAGGAATAACATTATAGCATGATATGTAGCTCAAAAAGCTATGTATCTTAATACCCACCTCCCTTTAAAACAACAAACAAATATAAATTAATACTTTCGAACATTTGGGCAATCAATGATTACTGTGGTATTTCCATTTTTCTTTCTCAGTGTTTAATATTTATACTACATTTGTGTTTATTCTACCAATTTCTGATCTAATAAAATTTAAGAAAAATGTGTGAAGTCCGACAATTTCAATCAGAACAGATCAAACAGATATAAAGTATTTTAGAGACTAGATCACCTTTATTTACAACAACTGACTTTTTTCAACACCACTCTATGATAAGAGATGTTTTCTATTGTGTATTTTAGGTTCAAATTAACTTTCTACTTTGTAAACAAAGATCTGACACAGAATCCCAATTAAGGTATTTTTGGCCATGTTAGTTTGTGTGCATGTAGATACACATGCTTGTTTTCAAACCACAAACAAGATAACTAATGTTTGATATTTATGTATCTGAGTCAAAAACACACAATCAAATAAATGGAAAGAGGAAACAACAGCCTCTTACTTTCTTTTGGTAACTGTTTTAAGTGAATAATCTATGAACAAAATCAAATTACTTTGTTATCAGTGCTGCTACTTTCACTTAGCAACAACTCAAACATGAAATGAGCGAAATGTGAATTTCCAAATCAGACACAGCTTTCAAATCGGGGAAATAACATCTATTAGATTTGACGACTGCATAAAATATTTACTTTCTGGAGCATTAAAACCACCATAAATATTTTATTATGTTTAAAACTGGGGCCATTTTTGTAATCTGGGATTTCCCAATGAACTCACAGAGATTAGTATTAAAAGAAGAAAAAAACTGAGGCAAAAAACCCCCCGAAATAACAAAGCAAGACTTTTCAATCAAGCTTAATCCATTGTAATTATTATTGTGTAATAATCAGAGAATTTAGAACAATGAAAAAAAGAGGTACAAGTGGTTGATACTGGACAAAATGAGTTGCTAAAAGTGACAGTTTCATTATTGTTTCTTTTAGGTTGTTTTAAGGTCAACTGGTCAATAAGGGTTCATCTGCCACCACTCAAAACATTTCACAAGATAATAACATTGACAGCTGTTTCACTGGATAGGAAACTCCATGTTGTTGTGCAAGTGCTCAGTTTTTGTAACTCTGACTGAATTGGACAGGGAGCACAATTAAATGAAACGGCATTTTTCATCTAATTATGTCTCGAGAATCTAAACTGAATCAAATTCCTGCACAACATGTAACATGTAACCTCAGGAGCTGCAGGAGCATAATCATAATCATTAACAGACTAAAGATCAATAACAAAGAAACATGAGTTAATAAATGGATGGGGGGGCATCTACTATGTATGCATGTATGTGTGTGTGTGTATATATATATATATATATATATATATATATATATATATATATATATATATATATATATATATATATATATATATATGAAATATAGACAGTGAAAAAGGTTCTGATTCTGCAACAGTATGATTCTTTCAGCACCACGGACAGAGGACGATCACGACACGGAAAATTGCCAAGTATATAACATTTCAACGCGGAAACCCATTACTGTATGATGCGTCTGGATTGTTCTGCTTCATGTCAGCTTAGGTGTGAGCTCATCGCCGAGAATCACGGCCTGCTGCACATCAGCAGCCAGGTCTCCATCCCCCTCTCTGTTTACCTTTGTAAATAAGGTCCTCGGTCTCCAGGTCGAATCCTTCCCGGTGACACTTCCTCCAAAGCCCGGAGACGGTAGAGTTGAACTGGCGGCTGCAGTGGGACTCCATTGAAGACGACGCGGGCAGAAAGTGCCGCTTCCCCCTAACGAGAGGAGCAGCATCTGGGCCGGTTTTTGGAGGCATCTGGAGGGGGAGGTTGTGGTTTGAAATGTAGATGTAACCGGGGTCGTTCCGCTTGTTGGCATAGTTTTTGCACCTCTCTCGGTGTCTCCTGGCGTCGGTCTCGTACCAGTAGTCGGTGCAGATCGCCATGGCGAGGAGACCCAGCGCGCAAAAAGCCAAGAAAAGCCCAGCGCTGGTTAATATTTTCATAGCGGCCATCTTCCTTTGCTCGGTGGAGAGCCCAAACAGTGGCAAGAAGGTTCCTCCGTGGCCGTGGTGGTGATGGTTTTGGCTGGTACCGGCGTGAAGCAATTCACGACGGCACTCAGAGCTTCCTGCAGTCCTTCGCCGGGAGCATGATGCTGCAAGGCCGTAACGGGGTGGACGGGATGCTGCGGTCTATTGTTGTGGTGCCCGGTGCATGAAACGTTGTTCCCACCATCTGTTATGGTACAGGAGGAGGAGAGGGGATGGATGGCGACCAACGCTGTGAGGAGGAGGCAGGGGAGGTGATGTAGTTGCGCTGTCTCTCCTCCAGGTTGCTGAGGGATGGGGAGCAGACAGAAATATGTTCTCCTTTTGAGGGGGTGGAGTGGTAACTATTAGTTATGCGTCGATGAGCGTCTTTTTCACTTTTGTAAATGTATAAAACCGATGTGTAAGTGTGGTTTTGCGTTTAAACCTATTTTGGAAATGAATGGTAACGCAGTAAATAGCAGAAAAACAAATGTAATGTATTTCCTTCAAATCATCTGTGATTATTTTACACCGTTTTTGTATTAAAAAAACGCTTTCATTTTGATGACGGAAACAAAGGAAAAACTGTGATTTAAAACGCCTTTCAGAAGCATAGAAGCTACATTTCTCATTCTAAGTTTGTGCTTTCTGTTTTCAGGGTGGAATGATTATATAAAAAACTTTGATAGATTTTAAAAATTTAAAATGTGTGCACACGTATTGAGTATTCTCTCCCGTAATACTTTTTAGGTAAAATGTCCAACCTTGGCAAGTTGCTCCTCCAGCACACAGTTTTTCATCAGCTCTGTTTGGATTTACCTCTCAAATAAATTAAGTTTATCTATTTTTTTTATAATCTTAGTGGGAGCATGTTGACATTAAATAGAAGCAGCCCCAGAATTGAACCGTGGGGTACCCCACGTCATCTGACTTTTGCCTTAATGCAAAAATTTGCAATTGTAGATAAAATAAATTTATGAGCCAATTAGAACTAAAAAGCCTTGTAAAACCTAATTTAAATGACAGACAGTCTGAAAATACAAGTTTGTCTCAAGATTCTGTAAATGATGTTAAAAAATAGTCCTGCAAAAAGTTCTTCATGCCAATGTCCATTTTTTTCAATTTCCCTCCATTTTTATATATACTGTCAAAAAGTGCAGAGAGATACATTATTATACATTCACACTCAATTTCATATTTACAACTCTGGAGTACTTGCAAATAATGAATATCATTTATTCTTTTTTGGCATTTTTTCATTTTACAACCAACCACTTTATAGTATTTTATGATATTTTATCATATATAATAAAACAAAGGAAAACATAATTTAGAAAGGTTATTGATAAAATTATTTACAAATGAAAACATCGGAAATGTTCAGCATGCATCAGCCTCTTTTACAAGCAGGAAAAGACCTTCAGAAGTCACATAGTAGTAAATGTACCTGAGTGAAAGTTATTCTCAGAAATAAAGCCACTTTGCAAAGGAGACGGAGAAAATCATTGAACATTATGAAGAATATATATATATATATATATATATATATATATATATATATATATATATATATATATATATATATATATATACACATGTAATTTAAGTATTTTAGAATGTTTTAAAGCAGGGTATTGTTATATAAACAATATCAACAATATCCAAGAATTGAATGTATCACACAGCACAGCTCAACTTACAGGAAGAGTACAGTGAGACTTCCTACTGACCAGACATAGACACCCATGTAACTGAGAAACAAGAAAGACTCATGGGAACTCTGGAGGAACTGCAGACAGTATATGACCAGTATATGACTTGTGGCTTTATTTGATCAAAATGCCAAGTAAAGTAACACTTTATGAAATGTCTTTCCACACTTATTGATTTTTGTATTTGTGGATTATTTTTGAAGACTTCACTTTAAGTTATGCACTGTGTACATAAGATTCCAATAAATAGATTGAAGTTTGTGTTTGTAATAGTAGAAAATGTGAAACGGTTCAAGAGATACCAAAGTTTTTTTCATGGGATTGTAACAAGAGTTGTTTACAGAATTTCAGTGGTGGGCAGCCAGCCGGGTGCGGTCAGTGCAGACAGTTTGGTGGATTTTAAATGTTTATTTTTTTTGCGTTATTTTGCCAAAGTTAACCTTTATCGACCCCCTCTCATAGCTTGTCTGATTTGATGTAATATAACTGAATGTAGACTAGCTTAAACTATTGTCTTATGAATTTATGCAAATATATTTTACCAAAAGTTGACTCATCCATCCTTCAATCTGAACAGTGAGTCAATCGGTATCTGGAGATTTAATTCTCTGTATGTTCATGTCTTTGTGGTATGGTTACAAGTAGCTAAATGTTCATGTTTGCAGAAACCTACAGGATCCTGCAGATGAATGGGTTTAATGGTTTACCGTACTCCTGGTCGACGCTTTGCTCATGGCTTACGCAAGCCGACTGTGTCCCTGTGTCACATCGATGTAAATCTGAATCCAGGACTTTTAATTCTTAGAGTAAATGGTGACATAAGAACGGGAATGTACCATCTGCCTCTGCGTTTACGGTTTTCTGCTCTAGGTCTCCCACTGCAGTGCAAGCGGTGATAGTTGTTTTTATGTGCTGTGACTGAAGAAGGCTCCCACAGACATTAAGCTGCTCAAAGCCTGATGACTAAGGAAGGCGACCTGCTGCTGAGTCGTTATGGCATTATAAGCTTGCCAGATACACTGCTGAAACTGGAAATGTGTGAACACAGAGTCATTGCCCCCTCCCCCCTGCTTCCATATGACAATTTATCACCCTTTGCAGTAGGATTATTCTAACGGTGAACATGTCAATGCAGAAAGGTCCATGTGACATCATGAGCTATCCCTGTGTATCTTTATGCAAATCCAACCATATATTTTTCCAAACTCAGTCATTGTAGAGTAAAAGGAGACACTGCTCATCTTAAGCTACAAACAGGAAAGAGACAACCCAGAGCCTGGACAGGTCACCAGTCTATTACAGGGCAAATAACCTCACATGCACACACTTGCACCTCAGGGCAATTTTGAATGAGCTGCTAACGTTGTGGGTGGTGGGAGAAAGCTGGTGTTCATGCATGCACAGCAGGAACATGCAAACTGCATACAGACAGGAACCCATCAATAAATACTAGACTTAAATTCTGCCATCTGTTCAATTAATTGTACCTAATTGTTGGGTCCCAAAATACTAATGCTGACATTCCATGATTTTCCAGTTATTAGTATTTTCAGAGGGGCTTTCAACTATAAATACGAATGTTTGCTATGAATTTACTTAACATATTTCTATATCAAAACCATTCTGTAAAATGGATGGCTGGAGAAAAAAAAAGAAAAAAAAAAGAATGGATTGATAAAGACATGGAAGAACATCTGAAGAGAGATTGAGAAATGGACAAATGAATAGACAGCTCAATGAATGATGGATAAAATAACAGATGAAGGAATTGAAGGAAATATGGATGGAAAGTTTAGGCATTGGAAAAGGAAATAAAGTCAGTAAGAGATCTTGTTTTTAGTATTATTTTTATCTGGACCTGTAAAAGTTTTTTGTTTTTTTTTTTTTCCCTAAATTTCATATTTTTTAAACTGCAGGAACCCTGCAGTGATTTGCATCACATTTTCCTCAAAATATAAAAACCAATCCCTTTGATACAGTTGTCTATCATTTAAAGTTTATTTCTTCAAAAGTCTTTTAAAACATGTACCATCCCCCGTTTTCAACTTTCTAAAAGCTATCTTTCGTCTCTCAGAAATAGCTAGCAACAAAAATTTAATGAAATTTAAGTTTTAGCAAATAACATCAATGTATTGTCATTAAATGTTACTACAAGCAGTTCCTCTTGATGAATGCTGTGTGAGGAGCTCAAGCTCAAAATGTGCAGGTTACACTGTATGTGAAAGGCAGATAAAAGTTCTTTGGTAGAAAATAATACAACACAAGACAAGCGGGAGTGATTAAACTGTTTTCAATTTCAATAAATATTCAGAAGCTACATAAAAACTGATAGCAAACAGGACTAACAGAACAACATCTGAAAAAAAAAAACCATCAGACGAACTTCTGCTCTGCTAGAAACAGGGAACCAGAGTTTTTATGTTATGAGATTGTACGTCGCGCGTACCTGGCTGTAAATGTATGTGCAAAGCATCGTGATTGTCTTAAAAAACAACAACAATTTGGTAACAGATTTCCAAACAGACCTTTTCCTGATTCTGGATAATCAAGTACAGCACATTTCAAAGTGTCCAAGTACTAGCGTCCTGTCTTCTGATCACGACAGTCTTCCTTTCAGTCATCCCTAAATAAAGTGCTGCTTTAGTGTTTCCTTGGCTGTGACGCCAGAAATCTCATTGTCAGTATATTTCTGTGAATAAGAGGATGGTGGGGAAGACGGTTCCTCTCCAGTAGTAGTGTTTAAGGCAAAAGAGTGTTCTCCTCCCACGTCACTCCACGATGGCTGAGAGCAAAGCCATGGTGCCCACCCCACAGAAGATGAGCAGTATTTGTAACAAGGAATGTCTGAAAAAAACAAAACAGATTTAGAAAGGTTTGTGGACTCATTTTTTTTAAAACATTAAATAACTACCATATTTTCCAGACTATAAATCACACTATTTTTCATAGTTTGGCTGATTTATAGTCTTGTGTGTGTTTTTTTCTTTACATGACACATTTTTTAACTGATGATTACATGTTAATTCGTACTGACAGACATGAGCCAAGGGTTAAACATTACAGTCTGCAGCTGAGAGGAAAGCTAAACATGTGCTGAAGGAAAGATGGCCTGAGATGGAGGAACTAGTCCAGAGTTAGGTACTTGAAGAACGTCTCCCCGCTCCAGTAGTTGCCAAGAAGATGAATAAAAATGACTTTGAAGGAGGAATCCCTAGTGTTACTGCTTTATGCAACACAACTGCTGCTCTATAACCCCGGATTCACATTGGATGCTCCTCTCCACGGGCAAAGAGCGCAGTGGAGTTGTTCCTCACCACCCCAATTTAGAGAATGGACATTGGTAAGTCAGAAACTGCCAGCAGACTTTCAAGTCATGATTAAAGGTTTCCATGAGTACATTGAAAAGCAGGTAACTGAACTGGATCATCGACATGGAAAAGGCCTCCCTCACGTTTGACAAGGCTTAAATAAGTGTGACTTGTACTCCAGAGCATACTCTTGTAATATACTTTCCTGTCTGACCATTCTCCAATAAAGGCCACAAGAGTCGATAAAACCTTTGTGCATAAAAATAAAAAGTAAAAAAAAATAAATAAATAAAAGAAGGTGCAATCCTGGCTCATTTTTCAAATTTAGAATACTTTTTTTTTTTTTTTTTTTTTTTTGGGGGGGGGGGGTTGGAAAAATTAAAAAAACCCACACTTGGTAAAAAAAAAATTTTTTCTAAAAAAGGGGGAAGGGTTGCCCCTTTTTTTTTTTTTTTTTTTTTTTTTTTTTTTTTTTTTTT